CATCAAAAAAATCGTTTGCCATTAAACATACTCGATTTAGGGGCTTGAATATACCACAGGGGGTTTCTCGTGAAAGATTAAATTTATTTGCGATATCGATTATGAAATGTCGATGGGAAATGGGGATGTCATGGAGATTTCGAGCAAACTTGGCTCTCCTTCATAATTCTCATCAGGGTACATCGAGGCTGTTTGGCATGTCGAGTGTTATCCGTTACTCGACGATTTGGAATCCCCGACAAACGGTTGCGGACGTACACAGGCTGCTCGCTTCCGTTGACAATTCCGGGTTGGACGAGCCCAACCACGTATGCAGTCAGGCACGCGTAACGCGAGGCTTTTGAACGCGCGCGTGTTTCGTTACACGACGACGAAGCGCTCGAAATTCGATTCTGGCAAGAAACAAGAAAGCCGAAGCTGCCGGTAGGTAATCTTACTTTTGTGTTTGGAATACCGAATTTACGTAACGTGCGCGGTACGCGCCTCGCACGGAAGAATCGCGTTGAAAAGAACCGCAGGCGGGAATTAATTTGTTCTATTTCGATTATTTATCAATTATTTCGATATTTTCGATATTTTCCGGTATGATTTATTTTAGAGAGATCTCACATCTCCATATATTTTTTATTGAAAAATTTCTGTTATATATATTTTCTATTATATATTTTTATATATTTATATATTATACATGTATTTTTATTATATATATTTATTACATCTATTTCTGTTATATATTTTTATTAGAAGTTTCTCTTTATATATAATGATTGATTTGTATATATGATTTTTTAAAATAATAAAATTATAAAAAAGTGTTTCGAATAAAAGATATCTCGTTTAAGAAGATTTATGTAATGATTTACATAAAAATTTAAAATTTTTTTAAAACAATTATTCATGACAATTTTATTTTTTTTCAATGTAATGTTTATTTTACAGTTTTATAAGAAACACCTTTTTGTAAGTTTATTATTTAAAAAATGCACATATATACATTTAAATTAAAAACTCATTATATATTTCTTTTTCTATAAAATTTTTTTCCGATACGTTCCTAATGTTCTCACGCGAAAATATGAGAACAACTGTGGCGGAAGAGCAAGCAGCTTTCGCAGGAAGCTACGACAACGATTACTCAGATTTCTCGACGAAAGGAGTGTCCTCCTGTCTCGGTTTCCCTCTTTAGCGATACTAGCCGTCTTTCGCTGTATCCCTTTCGATTCTCCCCGAGTCAAAGAGGAGTTACCCGTTCACGCGGGTCGACAAGGGAGAAGGAAGTGAAAGAGACGCACCCCCAGAGGTACGCGTAACCCCTGCGGGTCGCGGAAAGAACGGCGTTTTACCGACTATTAACTCACTTTTACCCCTGTTTCTTACCCTCGCTGTCTCTGGCTGAGCGAACGCTCCCCCGAAGGGAAAGGATCCGTGGGCGCCGACGAGATAAAAACGATAGGAAAAGGTGCACACGGAATCCCTTCGATGCGCGTTCGCGTGTATTTCTTCCCTACTCGAAACTCCTCGTTCGCGTAATCTCTCATTTTTTTTGCTTCCACCCCATTTTCGCCACCCTGCGATATTTCTCTTTCCGCTTTTCTTCCGGGATGGACGCGTGCAGGTAGCAGCCAGGTACCTGCGAGCGACTTCTCGAGAAGGGACGAAAGGGAGGAAAAAAAAGATCTCTCTCTTTCTCTCTGCGGGCCACGCTCGATTTAACCCCTGAGAAAAATCGCGCGATCCCTTTTCGCCCGACGGAGTCGTCGCAGTTGATTTCGGGGGTTAACCGATTTCCCTGCGAAATTTGAAATCCGAGAGCGCGTTTTTTCCTTACCGTTTTTTTTCCCCTCCACTCTGATTCGAACGGCGCACCCGTTTAAAGGTTTAAGTATCTCGTAAAAATGGGCTCGAGGATACGAGACGCCCTTCTTTCTGTTTTTTTTTTTCGCGCGACTTCCGAGGTTAGAGGGTCGGATGTCAGTCGCCGTCCCTAATTTGAGTCCCGAGCGTATCCGAGTGATGTCGATTATTTTATTACTCGATATCTGTGTAAAAAATTTCCGACAAATATATATTAAATTAATGCAAGAGGATCTGAAAATTTACAATTATAGAATTGAAAGAGAGTGGAAGTCCTGAAAAGCTAGCACATAATTTTTAAATTATATGTTAAATGACAAATTGTATCATTTTGAAATCGATCTCTTTCTGCGAAAGAAATCTTTTTCTCTCCATATAATTAATTCTTTTATCGCCTTTATAAATTTTGTTCTGCAAGTCTCTTTAAGCGATAGATTTATTTTTTGTGTCCGCACTCAAAAAGCGCGTATCTTGTAAACGAAGAATCTTGGAAAGATGACTCACTCAATGTAATACGTTTCTCTGCCGCGATAGTGTGTCGATGGAGCCATGACTCGCCACTATGAGACGATTTGGAGTAAAGACGAAAGAGAGAGAACTCTTTTCACAGAGGGAGAGAAACACAGAATCCCCGCGGCGCGATACCTTCTCCGGACTGGGCCTTAAAAATCGAGTCAATTTAAGGACCCGGCCCGTGAGCGAGATACAGCGAAATGCGTATATGCATGCGATCCTTCAGAAATCTCCCTCGCGAGAATGAGAATTCATTTAATACTGGAACGAGCGTCGAAACCTTTTTGCGCTATTTATGACGACCCTCCTCCGTATTATGCCTTTTATTAATTATAATCCTTTATTAATCGCGAGATGCGAAATCCTGCATTTGGTCACGATACTCGAGAGGTACGAAAAATGTGCCTCGGCGAATCTGAAAGCAGGAAACGCATCTACGACATGGACGTATGCGCAAGAAATATTTTCCCACAGTGCGCATCATTTTTTTTTTTATTATTCGGGGGAGTCTGTATTATAGGGAGTGGATATTCTCTTCATTTTTCATCAATCGACGTAGGCCTTTCGCGTTGATGGCGAGCGAATCATCCATCGTGATACACAGGATGCTTCGTTTAACGAAAAAAAGTGATGGAAAGCGCGTAAAAGAGCGAAAGGGAAAACTTTAACCGCGAGAAACGGTGTAGGATAAACCAAGAAGAAAAAAAAGAGATCCCAGGGGTTTCGTAATTTCAGTAGACATCATCGATCTAACCTTTCGGAAAAGTCCAGCGTATCCCTCCAGGGGGGGGGGGGGTTCGTGATCCTTCTCTCCTCTTCTCTCTTAGGGAAGGGATTTTTAAGCCCTTTCTAAAGTCTCCTTCCATTATAATTCTCTCTCGTTTCCTCATTCTTCGCCTCACCTGCGATCAAGCAAACCTCTAGAAATCGCTAAACTTGGACGCTCTCAGGGTTTATTTGCGCGAATAAAACGCAGCCTATCTACCTGGTTTGGTCGGATTATATTCGTAACGTAAAAAAACGGGAAATAACTCTTACCTAACGTACTCATCCGATTGTTTGCGCGATTAGAACTCTATTTCTTCTAACGGTCTGAGTTTTAAAACAAGAAAGTTTAAAAATTTCTTAGAAAACCGTATACTTTTTAATATTAATTATTTTTTATTTTGTATACGAAATAAAGCTCGTGAGGCTATAATTATTAATGAAAAAAATTTATTAGTTGAAAGTGAAATAGGTAGATGAATAGAAAGAGACAGAGAGGCTCCAAATTTAAAAATATTTAGAAAACACCCTTCTCCTTCTCCCTCTGTCTCTCCCATGTACAATATATAAATTATATTTTATTAAAATCTATCAAAAAGATGGATTAGTAATCATAGTCTATTCGGTAGGATATTGAGTAGTATTACGAATTTTTTTATTTTTCTCCATAGAATAGAGTTCAGAGCAGATGTACCTGCCAGCAGTCGATTACGTGGCTTTTAGAATCGAAATGTCTCAATTTCACGACTCCCAACCCAAGAAAAAAACTTCCCCCGCGGTCTCTCCCTTTTACTGCCATCGCCTTGGATCAACCGCACATTCCCCGTAGAATCTCGCCGCCTATTCTCAGTATCCTCGAACCAATCCGGAAGTCTATCACCCCTCCGCAAGATTTTTTCAAAATCAAGATTGAGCGAAGCCAAGTAATTGTGAGGAGTTAATCTTGTCAGAATTTTGACAAAGATCAGATCTTCGGAATCTTTAAAAGACTGTGATGGGTAGGTTTTATAGATAAATAAATAATAATATTCCCCTTTTTCCCAAATAATTGAAAATAACGAATGACAATAATATGTATTCTTTTATTTCGTTTAACAATTCTCCTACTATTAATTGAAATAATGCATATGGAATAGCAATCTCCGCTGGCTCGCAATAATTAAAAATAATAATTCGAATTTGTAATCATGTATTGGTTCGAATTAATCGTTTCTGGCCGATAACGTGTAATTTTATAACACTTCTTATCGAAGACTTGAGCATTTTTAGAGCGTGAAATTTTCGCATTCAACTCGAGACATTTAAATTTACATGAGCCTTCTTTTATCAAACAAATACGTATGGATTTCACTCGAGTTTAGCGATGAAATTCGTTCTTCGATAAATAACACGCGTTCGCTTTTATCTAATTCGCTTTGACTCGTTCAGTTTGTTTCGTTGAAAACACATCCATCAGTTGGATAAGAAACTAAAGTTAATTATTGTATTTTATGACTCTCACGATATTCCGCGACTCGTTAAATCTCACCTCACCAAGACCCGTGAAGACGTCAATAATGTTGATACGTCAACGCTTAACAACAGATCGCTCTTTTTTTCCTACTTCTTTTAAAGTTGATTTTAATAATACATTATGTAATAATACACTTTGGATTTCTCAAGAAAGAAATCGCATATCTTTGTAAGCAGCAAAGTCATAGTGACTTTGTGTCGTTGATTACGAAACTGATGTATCTAACCAACATATTGTAAACGTTTTAGAAATGTTATTCTTTTAAAAGTTTATCATTTTCATCTTCAAATTTAAAAATTTGCTAATTTTTCAAATACTTTCAATTCGAATATAAACCGATAATCTTCTTTTGCAGGGAAGGTGAAGGTGAAGGAGGAGAAGGACGCCTCGTCGATGGCACCCGGAAGTCCTCCCACACCCCCGCATACCCCGCAAAGTCCGCAACGTGCGATTCCAACTCTCGGCAATCTCTCGCAATCCTGCCAAACGTCAAACGCAAATTCGCCAAACTTGCAGCAACAACAACAGCAGCAACAACAACCGCAACAACATCAGTCGCAGGAACAACAACAGCAGCAGCATCCCTTGCACGCTATGGCTAATTCACCCCTGAATCAAATATTGGTTCAAAATCCGGCGCTGGCGCAATTGTTGCAACAAAATCCGGCGATACTATCGCAAAATCCACAATTGGCGCAGCTGCTGCAGCAGAATCTACAGGTTCAGATGGGCAGCGTACTCCTTCAGAATGTGAGACGGGAAGAATCCGAAGAGTCTAGGGTAAGTAGAAGAGTCTAATAATTATCTTATTCTAAAAGCCACCATCAAAATTAACTACACTCGAGCCAAGTATATAGACTACGATATGAAAGTCTGAAACAGCAGTATTATTTTTACAATCTTGCGTTCTAAAAAGACCATATTATGTACCGTGACCATATTATATAGCTGCGGTATTCCAGTTATAATTCGTATGGGCGAGTCGAATGTCAGCGATTATTAAAAATTTAAGTAGCATTGAATTATCGTTTGCTATTGCATCAAAAGCGAGACAATCGCGCGAACCTGTCCAAAAACAATACGCGATGACTCATCCGACTCAAGTCACCAAGTCGAGATCGTAAAGTTACCAACGGGGGAGCTGTGTGAGCTTAACTGTGCTAGAATAATTCAGCGCTTCCTAGAATCGTAAGCGACGAACAATCGCTTATGATACGTCGTAATAAAAAGTCGATAGAGGCTTCGCCGTTTGGAGAGATCTTTCATTCGCCGATCGTACTTTCAACCTATTAATCGCGAATTATTTCTTTATATATCCGAAAAAAAAAAATTAGAATACTTGTTACTTTTAAAAATTCGGAGATGGATAAAAGAGCCATGAAATATCTTTTAACGCTTCTTCTCGAATATCCGTCCCGATGAATAATTTGAAACTAAATTTATTATCGAGATTGTGGGACGAGGAGATTTTAATACTGTAGAATTCAAGGCGCGTTATCTATCCCATGCCATTATCGATGACGCGTAGAGATGCATCGCCAGGTCACCAAAGAGGAGGCCGCGCAGACGACCCGACCGGCTATGGGATCGCTGCCGTGGAATCCCATACACGGAGAATTGAAATTATTCCCCGGATTTTTGTCGTGTCGTTTACATTATTTTCGCCTTTGAATATTAATGGGCATATGCTCTCCGGCGTTATGGCACAAGAAGTAACAACGGCGTATAATACTCGAGTCTTAACGTTATTCTATTGTTTGCAAATCAGCTCTATTGTTTTCTCATATACCTCTATACTCTCTCGCGTACCCTCTTTGCCCCTCTCTCCTCCCTCCCCTCTTTCTCCCTCGCCTCCTCCTTCATCGGCGTGCCTTCCCCCTTTTCCCTTCCCCTCTTTTATCGTCGTCTTTCTTTCTCTTATCGTTACCTTCCTCCTCGTCTCTCGTCCCTCGCTCTCTCTTCGATTCTCTTCTTCCTCCTCGTCGTCGCTCTTCTCGCCCCACCCCTGTTTCATTCCGATCTTTTTCTCTTTCTTCGCCCTCTCTCCACCCCCCCCACCCCTCTCGCCCCGTGCCCCGATGCATACGTTCGCATTATATACATCGCGATGCACATTATTTTTCATTTGTTTCCTCGCGTTCGCGTTTTCTTCCTGTGAATTTTTTCGCGAGCGATAAATGCATTAATTTGAGAAGCGCATACGTAAACGTGCGCTTTAATCCTTCATTGCGATCTCGTGCCCCCCCCCCCCCCCCCCGAAATCGCGAAGAGATTTTTTTGTCGAACGAATCCTCTCTCTCCACGTGTTGACCGCCCGATATTATTATGCACGATACGCTGCAATTTGTAATATTGAGCACGGAAGGTCGCGGATAATTGTGAACGAGGAATATAAATGTTCGATTAGAGATTGCAGAATTGATGGAACGCGATGGTCACGTACGTGAGATGAGTTCTATTAAATTCGATGGAATTTAATCGATCGCGTTCCGGCGTGCGCTCGATCGCGAGGCTTCGAGGCTTCGCTTCTCGTTAGGAAGGAGGTTCATAGATCGGGACAAAGAACCTTCGTCGAGCGATAATGCAACGGTGCGTCACGACGTAATAGAATATGTTTATACGATATTTATATGCGCTATTTAAAGTAATTCGAAACTTTTTCACGATAAATTTACGCGCCGAGATCAACTTTCTTCGAGTTTCAATAATAATTCGCTGTATTCAATTCCACGAATCGATCCTCGAGTCGGAATAATTTTTTTCAAGACGAATAGAAAATTGGACGGAGAGAGAGAGAGAAAGAGGGGGAAGGGGGAGAGGAACGGATGGACAAACGATGTTTAAACGAAGTGGCGACCGGTTCATAAATTCAACGATATGGATCGAGACTCAGCTAAGGCTTCGGAAATCGTACGTAGCATTGGAATAATTTGAGCCTCGATGGGGCTTCCGACAAGAGTGACGTTCCTTCGCGCGACGTCTCTCCGGGAGGCGCGGCCGTCTTCCTTATTAGGTCTTCCGATTTTAATTTCGGCTTGGAACGAAATGAAAACGCGGCGATCGGGGACAAATACGTACGATACGCGTCGATAAAAGTCAGTTACGCGAAATTGAAATGCCGTGGAGGATGTGCCCCGAGGATAATTTCATTACTCGGTAGCAGTAGGGGTTAACGAAGGGTATTAAGCGGCGAGCAACGTTACGAGCGGGCCTAAGGCCATAACGCGATTAGTTCGCGGAATGGCTGGGTATTTTGCACGATAGGTTTTACGGAAACATCTCGCGTCTGCCGCGTGGGCGACCCCCCGTGGCGGGGTACCCCCTCCGTCCCCCCCCTTTCTCCTTCGCGCCTCGCGCGCCCATCCCCCTCCCCCTCTTGCTCGCGTACGGCCCTGAGCACGCCGGTGCATTGTACATCGTAATGTATTTCTTTTAGGTACCGCCGACAATAGCGAGCCTGACGGCGATGAAGGTGGAGGCAGCTGACCCGAAGGTTTCCGGTGAGTTACTATTTCCTCCTCGTCGACGGAATTATCGGGATCGTAATTAGATTCGAATCGAGACTGCTCGCGTTCGATGACCCTGCACGCGCGAACAAAAGGAAGGTGAAAAAAAGAGAACGAGGTGAAAGAGAGAGAGACCGACCGCTGGCGGGACGCGACATCGTCGATCGACGCCTCGTCGCCGCTGATCTGGTTAGACCAGGTGATTTGTAATCGACGGCACTTGTAATCGTTGGGCGAATCTATGATTAGAACACGGTGACAATGTCGTCGATCGAATATAGACGGCGACCCCTGACCTTTAACGACATCGGGCTAGAAATATCAATCGGTGCTCGTTCGCCAAAAGTATGTGCGACGAATATATTTGACGGACGAGCTTGTATTTTATTCAATTATCGACGATGCTATCGGGGAGCACCAAATGAATGTGATTTTAATAGAGAGAGAGAGAGAGAGAGAGAGAGAGAGAGAGAGAGAGAGAAAGAGGAGAAGAAGACTTTTAGCTCCGAAAATAATCTTATTTTACTCCTTTGTTTTTTACGTCGCGAAATTTACTCCATTTGCTTTTTCGAAGGCGAATTTTCTAACGAGAATTAATAAAATCGTCCACCACGCCGTGAAATATGCCGGAGAAATCGCATCCAGCCCGCGCGCGCACACGATGGACCCGCATCTTTGAGTAATTATCGCGCATTCCTGCATGCCACGTGACAAATCTGAAGCTACACGTAAGCCGGCTGAGAGCACCGCCGTCGGCTCTCTCTCCCCTTTGCAGCCTTTATTTGCCACGATCCTCGCAAACTCGTGAATCGTGGCGCAACCTGACGAATCGCCGCTTTCAGTGTTTTGTGCCCGAGGGCCGTTCCCCCTTTATTGGAATATCCGCCCACAGCATTATGGGAATTATCAAGGAAATGGGATGAGTGCCAACGGCTCCCACGAGGGGCACGAGAGGGAAGACGGGAGGGTTGCTCTTCGGTCGCATTGATAAAAGAAACCCGGGATTTATATATCAATCCCCTGTTTCCTTTCCGTATCGTTTGAAGAATGTATATTTTTCAATATTTATATACATTTTAATTAAGGAATGAAAAAAGAGTTTTGTAGCGGGCTTTGATTTTATTAATTACCTATAAATTTATAAATGTAATCGTGAGTGAATTGAGCTAGACTGTAATAAAAAAATATCGGAAATTCAGGGATGATTGGCAACTATGGACAATATTATGTTACAAATTTACGGTTAATGAAATGGAATAATTCATTTGTATGTTAATTCCACGCGTATTACCGCGGTGTTTCCAAATTATATTTTATTTATACATGAACCAAACTATAAAAAAAATAGATTATTTTTAACTGCTTGCATTTGAAATGTGCTCGTGCGCGATCCGCATGATTGCGTAGAAATATCGCTCGCCGCATGCGGTCATAGCTCTATGTTACGTAAACACATCGACGTTTCTTCGTAAATAGGAACATCATTAAAATCAATCGTTTCTCCCCGCTGTCGCTTCATTATTGGCACGCGAACCATCATTTTCTTCGAAAACACTAACGACGCCAATCGACAGTTTGTCGCGCGATTCCCGTCCGTTGAAACCGCGAAAAGATTCCGCGACGGAAATCACGGCGACGATGAGAGGAGCGCGCGGGGGGAGAATGTCGAGTAGAGAAAGAGAGAGTGGGCGGCCTCCGTTGGATTTTCTGGTCCAGTGACATATTCTCGTAATTTCGTATCGGCCAATCAACGTTGGCCGAGGATATTAAACGCGTGGTGGGATCTGCGAAATGGAATAAAATAAAATGTGTACGTTGTACGCGTTCGCGACGGTATCGGAAGAAAGAGAGGAAAAGAGAGAGAGAGAGAGAGAGAGAAAGAGAGGCGCGAGATGAAGGAGGCAAAGAGTGAAAGAGAAACGCGAGTGACCGCGGGAAGAAGATAGAGGCATAGATGTATGCGTACGTGGAAAGAGAAAGAGAAAGAAAACCCCGAGAGAAAGAGACACGAGCGAGAGAGGACGGAGAGAGGGAATGATGGAGAGAGAAAGAGAGAGAGAGAGATGCTAGCAATCAAAGCTGATTAAGCCCACAACTGGGGAATCTGTGGGGCCAGTGTCTCACGCCAATCTCGCCCAATCAGCCGGTTGGCCGGGGAGATTTAAAAAATAGAATGCCTACTGTCAATTGTCCCATAATTTAAATAAATCGAATAAATGGACAAAGTGGCCAATTAGAGTAGTTGCTGGTTGCTGCTTTAACGCATTATTCTCTCTTTCTCGCAGTGTCTTCGACTCTCCTCTCTCGTCTCCTCTTCCCTCCCCCCCTTTGCTTCTCCTCCGTCGAAGATGCGCTTCTATTCTCCCCCTTTGGGGGTCCGCCCGTCGTTCTTTTAATTCTCCGCGTTTGACATCGACCGACCACCTTGTCTTCACCGTGCCTTCATTATATCGTGAAGAAGATGATCGTCCGTGTATGTGCAGCGTAAACGTATGACGTGCTTGCGCGAAATTGCCGATTAGGCCGTTAAGCCTCGGCAAACTCGATTACAGGCGCGGAACTTTGCAGAATCGCAGCTGATCGGCACCTCGAAGCTTGCCACCGATTCTCCGGTCTCCGGACAGATATCCCTGCTTGAAATTCTCTCGCTTTGAAATCGATTGAATCTCAAACACATTAGACTACCATGTATTCCCGCAATCTCGATTACAGGTATAAATTTCGCGAAGCTGCAAGCTTTATCGCGCTTATTTATCTTTAATAAAACTTGCCTGCAAACTAGCGGATAAATTCTCCGGAGACGGTGCTACTTCGTTATTTCGACATTAATATTCCGAATACAGATTATGCTGTGTGCATTTTCGTAGACTCGTTAAACTCGGAAATAAACCTAAGACCTGAATCGCGCTACCGTTTTATCGCTGAACGTAAATTCGATGATAAGCGAGGTACGTTGTCGGAGAAAAAAAAAAGAGAACGAGAAGTGGTTCGTGCTAGGCCATCTCGATCTATCTTGATGAAATGTGTGCGGAAACTTGTCTCTCTTTCTTCTTCTCTCTTTCGGTCTCGGCCTCCGAATTCTGCTTTACTAATTATAACAATTTACGACTTTAACAATTATCACCATCGTACATGCGCCATCAGTCTGCACCTGTTCGACATACGTTTACGAAGTAGCTTAATGGCCTCGTTGATATCTGTACCCATCAATTTTGTGCGAGTACAATTTAATTAAGCCTCGCTATCGCGCTACTATTACGAGTAATATCGACGTTGTCGATTCCAAATGACTGCATCTGTCAATTCGCAAAGGAAAAATGCTTAATTAGCCGACGATCATAACTTTTAAGACTGACAGCAAATTATAAATAGTGTCAAAAATTGCTCATTTCAATATTTACATCGATTTCAATTATCGGGTATGTTTTTAATCCGCAGCCGGATCGAATAATCAAGTCATAATAAGGTAGTTTTATTTCCATACGAATGTTGAAAGCATCCTGTTATCTAGTAGAATCAAGAGGGAGTTGCGATTCGAAATGATTGTTTTCACATGTCTCTAATTACGCGAAGCAGGCTCATTAACATGAAGTTGCGAATCTGGCAGGCGGATAATTCTGGTAGACGCTCGAACGTATAAACGTGCCCTTCTACACAGGCTGCCAGTTTGAGCAGGCAGGCAAGCGGATAACAAATAAAGCATAAACGGGAGCTACGATAAATAACTGGTGCACCGCTCGTTGCATATAGTGCCCTCCAGGGTCTCGCTCCTCCCTGACTCCTCATACCTCTCTTTCTCTCTCTCTCTCTCTCGCTCTTCCTACACCCACTCCCACTATATTACCTGCGCGCAGGATTCACATACGTACGTGCATCGAGGAGTCGAGACCTCGGCGACCTTTAGTTTCCGTTCATAATGCGCGGACCCTACCACGACTACGGGAAATTAAAGAATCTTTTGGCTGCGTTCGTACGTGCTTTTTGGAAAGCAATCTCATTGCGAGAGATGTATCGGGCTATTATGGTAGCACATCGATATTCGCAAGATTGCTGAATCACTCCTAGTCATGTACTATGTATTAAGAATTATTAAATTGAAAAGTGGCATAAATTTCTTGCGAAATTAATTTCTGCGAAAAGAATAACTTGGTTGAAATTATATTAAAAAAGATTTGAAAATGATTCTCGTATATTTTATCGTGTCATCTTTTTATACTCTAAAGTCTCCGAAGAATAAAACGAGCAAAGATGGGAGATAATTAAATATTCATTCGACATATGTGTACTCTTGAAGTTTGAATAATCGTTTTTTATGGAGAGGGGGAGAGAATAATTTACTTGCACATAATTCTGCCAATTTTTACGAGCCGATTCTCGTTTGCGTTTAAACTCGGGAATTGGATTTCATTATCCGAAATTGAACGACGCGATTGGCCGATGACGGACGATCGCCGTTTCGTTGCCACGTTCGTTTCTCGAGCGAGCAACCGTTAGCCTTGAAGAAATACCATTAAAAAGCGATATGCGCGATGAAAGAAAGCGAGGGAGACGGAGAGGAAGGCGAATTTCACGGTTCATTCGAAACTTTTTAAACGAATTTACACGCCCCGCTCTACGAAGGGGGTTGAAACTTTATATTAAATTAACCGCCGAGTAAATATTTGACGGGTAAATTACCAGCGTTTCTCGTTTTGTTCTTCCTTCCATCAAAATCCCCTCGTATCGAATCATCGACGAACGCGCGATGGACTCTCCTCTCGCGCCGTTTCTTCGCCCATAATGATAGCGATGTTTATATCGCTCGCGACATTTTTTTTCGATACGCGACGATAAAAGTGCGCGACGACAATTCCAGCCATCGCAGTAACGATCGAGCGGTTCACCTAGACTCGTGCAGACAATGGCCAATTTCGTCGACGGGGACGCGAACAATGCTCGCCATAATTCGTGGTCCACCTCGCGTTCTCAGGGGTTCTCGCGAAACGGCTCGTCAT